TTTACAAAATTTATTTGAAAGGTAATAAGTACATCATTAGATTTGAGTATCTTTGATCCTGGAACCAGCATAGCAGCAGAATTCTATGTTAGTTTGCATGAGCTTATGAATTCTTTAGCATCTAGAACTACTTTAATTTGGAGTACTGTTGATGTTTTACAAAATGCTTGTCGCAATGCTGCAGCAAGACAAGCTCTTATTCACACATATAAATTTGCACCTATATTGGCAAGATTATTAGAGGTATATATTTATATTTATATATTAAATGATAAATGAAATATAATATAATAATATAACATAAAAAATATAGAAATATTTATTTTATTTTATTTTATTTATTTTATTTTATTTGAGATCTATATTTTTCATTTATAATAAAATTTTTTTATTTCAATAATTAAAAATATTAAATTTTTTTTAATTTGTATATTTTAAATATTTTATTTTATGAAATTCTAATATAAAACATCAAAATTTTAAATATATTAATATCTTAATATTTATATAATATATTTTTGTATAACAATTTCATAGGCAAATTTAACAAGTGAAAAGAGAATACGAGTATTAAAATTACTTCAAGAATTAACATATGGTATAAAAATTTCATGGCAAGAAGCTCATTTACCTTATTTGATATCAATATTAACACAATGGGTGATACAATCTAAAGAAGAAAATATTATTGCACTTTCATTAGGTGTATTAGTGAATCTTTGTTATAAAAATCTTCCAGCTGTATATGTACTAATGAGAACAATTGATACAAAAGCATTTATACGTACTTTGTTAAAATTGCAACATTGCAATGTTAATACCAGTGTACAATGTTGTAAACTATTAATTATATTAGAACATACAAATACAAATATTTCAGAAAAATATATTTTGGATTTTGCTGCTGTCACATTCAGCAGTCTTATTACTGCAATGAAACAAAAAGATGTTTTATTGCTAAAACACATTATAGATTTTTTTGATGATGTTGGACAAAATGAGCATTCTCATGCTGTGTTACTTACATATTCACAGTAAATTATTTTATAATTTCCAATTCAATATTATTTGACATAAAATATTTCATTCAATAATTTCATTTTTTATTATGTTAATTAGTTATGACAGAGATGTAGAAAATGTATTGGCTACATTAGAAGATAATGCAGATCCTGAATGTGTTGCTCTCATGATGGAATTTTTATCATCTTTAGTAAAATTAAAATTATCTGCTTTAGTGTCTTTGTATCCTTTATGTGTAAAAACTGCTATGACCTGGGTTCCTGTAGAACAGGTATATTTTCATTTGAAATAAAGATAAGAATTATTGTAGATTAATAATTATTTCTAAATTAGGTATGTTCCAAAGCATTAGCTTTGATAAGAGTTACTGTAATTGATGCACGACGCACTAAATCATCCTCTGAAGTCTTAGCAGAATTAGATGCTTCTGTTTTAATGCTTATAATAAATTCAGAAAATGATGAAGTTCAAGAAAAATGTGAATTAACTTTAGAAAGAGAAATAAAATTAGCAGAATTAATGCAATTATTTCAAGAAATGGTTAAAACTTCTACACTAAGGACAAAAGTAATGCAATCCTTGAATGAACAAATGATACGTAAATTATTAAGTGCAATGTTAGATTCTGAAACATATGCAACTAATAATTGGCCAGGGAATTTTATTCAAGTACTAAATTTTTAATTCTTTTAATTTTTAATTCTTAAAATATAACTATAATTTTTTAATAAATATAATATGATATTATGTTTTCTAGAATCCTACTACAAGTTTATGTATTCATGCATTAGCATTGACTGCTGATTTAGCAGCTCATAATTCAAATTGGTTAACATTATATTCTGAGTTGCTTAGAAAAAAACAAATTCAAATGATTATGGCTCATGCATTATTTATTGGTGATGCAGATGTTAAACAAAAAGTCCTACAATTGACATCTACTGTAGGATTTCCCCAGGAATGGTAGGTTTCTACCATACTTTTTAATCACTTATCAAAACACAAAGATTTTAACAGATTTTACTGTCACTCAAAATAAAACATTACTCTGTCTTCACTATTAAAATTAAATACTTTAGCAACATATTATTTTAATTTTTATTGATGACAACTCTAGACAAATTCACTATCACACGCAAATTGTATCCCATGTTTTTGTGTGACAAGTGTTTCCGCGGTGGCGCTTTGTATGAAGCAACTGGAGCCTTTGATATTGGTACAAAGTACTCCTGGAATGGTAACAAATATTGGAAGTAAAATGACTATAAATGCAAATAATGAAATGGCTCCACTGTTTTCTTTCGCACAAGAAGAACGGCTTGATGCATTTTTAGCAAAATTGAAAAGAACTTATGAATCAAATCAAATCAATGATATTACTACATCAGCAGTAATGGAATTATATGAATATAAGGTATATTTTTGTTATAATATATTTTATTATAAACATAAAATAATTTTATATTTTTTATATTTTTATAACATAAAAGTTAGCAGCTATGAGACATGCAGAACGGGCAATGCAATCTAGCTTAGAAGCAGCAAGTAATCATGGAACCAGTTTACAGCATAGATTGGCACAAGTAGTAGCTGAATCAAGCCGTTTACATCAAATGTTATTTGACACACAACAATGTTTAGAAGGAGTAAAATCTACATTAACTGTAAAACTTGCTGAAGCAGAAGAGCAAAGTAAAAAAGCAGTTGCTATAAAAAAACAGGTTGATATCATAATGAATTTATAAAATAAAAATTTAAGTTAAAACTTCAAAATAGAAAAATTATGTTCATAGGAAATCGAAGGTTTAAAAAAGATAGTAACAGAAAAATCTGCTAATATTGATCATTTAAATGTAGTACTTGTGCAACATAAACATGAATTAGAAAGTAGTATTAATAGAATTGAAATATTAACTAAGAAAATAAAGGAATTGGAAGTTGAATGTTCAAATGCAGATGCAAAAACTACAGAAATGACTAATAAAAATCATGAATTAAGTAAATTACTTCTTAAAATGCAGGACCAATTAAATAAAAAAGATCAGGTATGTTCATAAAAATTCAACTGTTATAATAGAATTGCTAATATGTAATATATTCAATATCAAATAGGTAATAGAATTAAAAACTGCGGAAATTCAATCGAATCAAAAAGATATATCTGCACTCAAACAAGAAACTCAACAATTATCACAATTAGTAAATACATATGAAAAGAATATTGCTGAAAAGGAGGAAACAATTAAAAAAATGAAAGCAGAGTTGATGGATTTAAGTCGCATGCGAGATATGATTTTTGAACTTACTGCTAAGAAAAAGGAAGATTTAAGCACAAGCTAATATTATATTTTTATATTATAAAATTAATTTTCAAATTATCAAACAATTTGATAGTAATTTTAAAAAAATTTTGTTATTTAAAATTTTGTTATACTTTTTTCTTACATTTTTAATATAAGTAATTGAAAAATAAATAACATACATGCACATATACATTAAGGACCAGCTAGATTGCATAATTTATTTTGTAAATATAATTTTGTTCTTTATTATCATTATTTAAATATTTTACATTTCTATGTGTGTGTATATCTGTAAAATTCAAAAAGTAAGATATTTTTCATTCATTTTTTACATGAATTATCATAATGCATGCATTAATCATTTTATTTTTGACAAAAAAATAATTAAAACTAAAAATACAAAAATCAGTGCTTATATAAATTAAATAGTTATTATTGCTTCTTTTTTTTTTGCTTGTCAAATATGATATAATAATCATTACATGCATATCAAATATGAACAAATTTTGTATAAATTCTTTACTTTTTTTTTTTTTAATTAAATGTTATTTGTGTAAACATTTTTATCGAATAATTTCTATAATTAATTTATATGTATTACAAAACTAGTTACAGTATGATACATAGTAACATAGTATTTTATACCAGAAATTATTTGCAATAATTATTTTTTTTATGACATTTTATGTATAAATAAATATATTTATAATTTACTTTAAATTTTATTAATTTTTTGTAAAAAAAATAAAGTCTAAATTTCTATATTATTATCTTATCGTGTCATAAGAATTAGATTAGGATTACATTATAATTATATGTTATAATTTAAAACATCTAATAAAATAGAGAAAAACAATTTATATCGAATATCGAAAATATTCTGTCCATTTCTCCGTTTTATATAATTTTCATTTATATATATCTGAAGTAATCAAATTGCAATAATACATTTAAGAAAATAAAGATCAATATTTATCTCAAACTTTTTCAATTTAATTTAATTCAATGAAATAAAATTCTTTATAATTATAATAATTTATATTGCTTTTGAAGTTGATCTCTATGTAATCCTAATTATATTCGTATTCAAGGACACAACACAATTATATTTATTATTTTACTAATAAATTTAATTATAAAAATTATCTTTATAAAATTATCTTTTTGTTTTCTTAACATAGAAGATTTTACTATAGATATAATATATATTATTTTTGTTAATATTTTTATAATTTTCATATCGAAATTTGTTCTTTATTATAAATTTTTTTATTTATAAATCATTTTATTATTATACTATCATCATAAGAAATATAAAGACAATTTACATCTTGCATTTTGATTGCACAAAAGCTGTGCATATTTATCATTTTTTTAATTATAAAATAAAAATTCAATTATCCATTTAAAAATTATTAAATCCTGCTCTATATTATATATTCTCTATATTCTCTATATTCTCAATCATTTTAAATGAATGATTGTTTTTATGTACATATAAAACTCTTACATATATAAACAAGAATATAAACTCTTCAATATTTTTCATTTTATAAATATAAAAAATATTTTGATAATTTACATTTTTTGATGAGATTAAAATAAATTAAATTATTTCTAAATTAGAAATAAATTTTAGATTATATCCACCTTTTTTTAAACCTAGTTATTATTATATTAAATTAAAAATCAAAAATAAAAGCTTTAAAAGTCATATTGTCATGTGAACATTGGAATGATACACAAAGTTCAATATTTGAACTTCATTAATATAATATTTAATACTGATGCAAATAAATTTTTACTAATTATTAATTTAGCTAATGTAATCATGTATTATTTTGCCAAAATAATATAATAACTCATTGATTGAAATATTTCATTCAATAAGAAATTATTAATATATATCAAACTTGAAATTAAAAAAAAAACTTTGTGCCTAAATGACAGAAGCGATCAATATTATAAAAATTAACTAAAATGAACTAAGCGCAATTTGATCCAATGGTAAATTATTTTCCATATTAAATATTTCGTGTGTAACGAAATTTTGTCATCAACTACTACCTCTACTCCATGGTTGCTCTGTGGCAGATGCAAAAATTAAATAAAAACAATTAGTTGCCATGTTTATTCCTGCTGCTAACCAGAATACTGTATGCCAACGTGCCAATGTTTCCTGTAATACATATGATAAAATATAATTATATAATAAATTTAATATTTTTATAACACATAAAAATATTATAAAAATATAAAATCGCATGTATTTATACTAACATGTCCCTGAACAATCATTCCAATAACATATGGAGCTAAAAATCCACATGCATTTGCAGCAGCATTTGTAAGTCCATAAAGAGTTCCCGCAAATCGAGGTGCTAATGCAATATGATTCATTTGATTTCCTGCATAAACTGCACCTTGTAGAGATCCTAATCCAGCAAGCATCATCAGAACCATCATACGATCACATTTAGCCCAAATAGCACCAATAAAACTGAGACTGGGTCCTAATGAAGCCACTGTGTTCCATAACTTGAACGATGTTAAAGGAGATAAAAGCTGACGGGCAAGGAGAGCATCTGCGAAACTTGAAATACCGAGACCGACTAACCAAGAACTTAAATAAGGCAGTGCTGAAAAGAATGCATCCTGTTGTACATCGAAATGCAAAATTTTATCCATATATGTTGGTAATTCTGTCAAAAGTGTATAAAATGCCCATGATTGTCCACATTGTGTAATAGCTATAGCCCACATGGGCAGTGATGTAAATATTGATAACCAAGGAACTCCCGTATCATCCTGTTATAAAATATATTAATTTAAATTTTATCCATTATAATATATAAATTTAATTTATTAAAATTGAAATAAACCTCATCCTTCTTTTCTACAGTAGCTTCAATATATGCTCTTTCTAAAGGATCAATTTTTGTATGTTGTGCAGGTGTATCAAACACAAAAATTAGCCAAAATGCATACCATATAATACCAAGCCCTCCAAATAAATAAAATGCAAGAGGCCATCCACCCCAAAATTCTAATGAACAAAGCCATCCACTTACTGGTAAAGATATGACAGTTCCAAAATTTGCACCTACATAAAAACAAATATGATAAATCAAATTTATTATATAATGAAAGAAGAAATAATTAATTACCTGCATATACTACAGCAGCAAATTTGCTTCTTTCTAAAGGAGGTACCCAGAGTGCTAACATGCTATGCATTGCAGGGAATGTTACACCCTATTTATAAAAAAAATAAAATTTTTTAAATTTTTCAAATATATTAATTTACAATATAGTTACCTCTGTAAATCCTTCTGCTACCCGTACAGCTAAGAATGGTATCAATCCTAAATAAGCTGCAAAAGGACTAATTACAGTCAATACAGCAGTCAGAAATACTCCTAATCCATATATGAGTTTTCCACCAAATTTTTCCGCCATTCTACCACCAGGAACATTTGTAGTTACATAACCAATGAAAAAAGCACCCAATATAATACCTTGTATTTTTTCATCCCAATTAAATTCTCCTGCACTCTTTGAAAATTTATATTACTTTTTAACATAATTGCAATTATCAACTTTCTTTTTTAAAATTCAAAATTAATTTTATTTATATTAGATTCTTATAAAATTTTTATAAATTAAAATATTATTTTCAAAATATATTAGAAATATATAATATTAAAATATCTTGACTAGTATTTAAGTATTTAAAGAACAGAGATACATAATAAGATAAAAGCAGAAAATGTAGGCGTTAAAAAACATGTTGAGGTCATACTAAAAATGATAAGTTTATATGAATAATAATGATAAATGAATAAAATGATGATAAAGACAAAACTAATGTTAACATTTGATTCACATCAGTATTATGTATATAGAATATTACACATATTACACATATAGAATATATCAAATTATAAAATATAACTTAGTGCTTATTTAATAATCATTTAATTTTATTATATTATATATATTATTATTTATATTATATATATAAAATATATATATTTAAATAGTATGTTAAAAATATATTTAATATAATATTAAAAATATGATTAATATAAATAAAAAAATATTTGTAATATATTAAAATATAATACATATAACAATACAAAATATAATATATATTAAAATATAAAATATATTTTACTAGCTAAAAATAATTTATTAATTAAAGTTATAAATTAATAAACTTATTAAATAAACTTACTGGTGTAAATGTTCCATTAATTGGTTTTTCTTTAGGACAAACATCTGTAGTATCATTATCATCATCATGTGGTACTGCTGTTTGATTAACCATTGAAACAATAGCCACAGATAAATTCACTCTCATGGCATACACAAGTGCAAATCCTAGAAATCCTAAAAAACCTAATGTATGCCTTGCTTTTATGCATGATTTTGTATCAGGTGGAATATCTGGTATAGTAACTAAAAATAAAATTTTACATAATTAAATTCATTAAAATTTTGATTATTTAATAATTATAAAAAATATACAAAATTTATATTCTTTCATAAATTCTTAATTATTTTAAATTTAAAAATCTAAATAAATTTAAAAATTTAAAAATCTATATAATATTTTAATCATTATCTTTTTTTGTAACTGTTAATTCAATTTTTATATAATATAACTTTCTTTCTTTCTTAAAATATAATTAAAATTATAATATTATAATATATACATATTTTTTTAATATTAAATAATATACATTTATATTAAAATATTTAGAAAATTATGAATGCTAACAAAGTTGTAACAGAATTAAATTTTTCAAATATTTAAGATTTAAATATTCTTTTCTGAATTCTCTTTTAAGTAAGTATATAGTAAAATTTAACTTAATTTTTAACAATTATAATGCTATTTTGAGTTAACCTGGTATATCTTCTGATAATTTTTTATAAAATTTTTGATTCTTTCTTTTTCTTGACATTTGTTATTATGTGTTTTTAATATATTTGTATACTTAATTGCAAAATTTTTATTTATATATTATAAATATATTAAAAATAAATAAAAATTTAAGGCATAATCATAACATACATTCTTAAAAGAAAAATAATCATTAAAAAGTTTTCAGAATGTCCGATCTATGATCCGCATAAAATAACATTTAGAAATTGCTTGACAGCTGACAGTATTGCGAATAATTTATGTGTCACCCTATCAATTCTTTGTTTCCAAACAATGCCTTCCCACGCTACGAGGTCTTTGGAAACCTTGAATGTCTTCAAGATACAATAATATAAACATATTTATTAAAAAAAAATATTTATATACAAATGAAAATAAATTGAACAATTAATATAATAGCAAAATATTAAAAATATACCTTTTTCCAAAAAATCATTAACGCACAAAGGCTGATCATCTCTCGAGATACTAGGATCTAATACTTCCATGTTGTGCGCTTTTTTTTAACACTTAACACTTTCACAAAGAATTCATCAAATTTTAATCATTAAAGATATATTTTATTTACATATAATTATGTTTTTTTTCATTTATAGCATTGATATGATAGTAGAATGATATGTAATTTAATAAAGAAATTGTGTGAAATTTTAACAGTGATATGATGCGTATCAAGTAAATTGTCGTCTGCTGTCATCATCGCTGGCGCGAATTGCTGCGCGCTCACGTCATTTAAGCTTAATACATACATATTTAAACTCGATTGTATATAAGTATTTACATGTATACTTGCGCAGGCGCTTTACTTTTTTTAGAATTTTTCATGCTTAATAAAATTAATTGAAATATAAATTAAAATGTAATGAGTATGTTCGATGATTAAAATGTATTATTGTAATAAAATTATATAGTATAAAAATTGTAAATTTTGCTATATTTTAGTAAATAAAATATAATTTTATATATATATATATATTGCAATGTATTTTGTACTACAAAATTACAATAAATTTTTATAATTGTATAGAAAAAACTGATTACGTAAGTAACTTATTATCTACAATAACTTAACTTATTATCTATAATACTTATTATATAAATTGCTTTAATGATACTAAATTATTTAATAAAATTTATTATATATTCTTCAGACAAAATTAGATAAAAAGAATTATTTAATAAATAATGTTAATATGATTGTACTATTCTATTATATTCAATTATTGAAATAAACTTACTTTTTCTATTTGATTTTATTATAGGATAGATTAGGATATATTATGGGAAGAATTTATTATGAATTGTTCAGAATTTTGTAAAATATTATTTATAATTTAATCAAAATGATTATTTCTATGCAAAATATAATATTGCAATAATAATTATAAATCCAATAATTTTATAAATTAGCTAAAATTAATAGATATTTTTCTTTAAGAAAAATAGTACTAATTATAATATAATCACATTTTTTTTATTAATTGTCATGCCTCAAGATTACTATGACAGCGTATGTATTTAGGATATTTGAAAAAATATGAAAAAATCATTCAAGAATCCCAACAATAATATTTGATTCATGAAAAACACATGCAAGAATTTTAGCAAATATATTTTAATGGATTACAATTTCCATTCCAATAATGAAAGATTAAAAAAATTCTTTAATGCTATTTTCATTAGCTAAGATTAACAATTATATATAATATTTAATAAATTTTTTTCATATATTTTATAACTATGTGAACTCTAATTTTTAAAACATTTAAATTATGATAAAATTAAAATTAAAAATTCTCAAAAATTATGTTGTTTGGCATGATACTATTCTATTATTCTATCATTTCACTACTTAATTAATAATTTTTGTTGTTTATTGAAATTTTATAAACATGAAAAATATATAAATATTAATTATACAAATAATTAACACCTTGCAATAAGAATAATATATACTAATATACTATTATGTATTGTAATTTCTAATATTGTAAAAATTTTGTCTTTCCTAAATAATAAACTTTTTATTATTTCTAAATTCAAAATATTTAAAATTACATATAAGTATATTATTTTTCTTAAATATAATACATATATGTGTGAAATATCTCCATACACTAATTTCTTTAATTTAAATATTATAAACATAATTAAAATAATTAAAAATTAACATAATAATTAATAATTAAAAATTATATAAATTATATTGTAAATTATAAATTGCTTTATATTTAATAATTTTCAAATTAAAAAAAAAAATAAATTGCAAAAAATAAATATACAGAATTATTTTAATAATTACTTAAATACTATTTTATATTTTATTCATGTCACATATTTAATATATCATATATTATAAACAAATTAGTATTTATATATTATAAAATAATATAAATAAATTGAAATTGTAAACTTTTAATAAAACCACAGCACTTGTAAATTTATAAATTTATAACATTTCATTATTCTTATTTTACATATGAGTAAATAAAATAAAATAATTACATTTAATTTGTGATTTATCCAATAATATTTGTATAATATAATGCATAAATTTTAATTGATAATACTAAAAACAATAATAAAAATTTTTGCATTTTAAGAAAAAAATATAATTTATCTTTATATAATAAAATTCTTAATTCACACATAATTACTTTGATCAATTAATATAGTAAAGTATTTGTAATTCAAACATATAACTAAAAATAAATAATAATCATTACTTTTTTATTGAGTTATATGGAAAATAAGTAAAAATAAATATTATATTAAATTTAGATTATTTCACTTGTTTATATATATTATATCAATAAGAGAACATAAATAATAATAAGAGAACAAAAAAATATAAATAGAAAATAAGTAAAAAATACAAAATTTAAATGTAAAATTATACATTGATTCATTAAAACATAGAATAATATTTAAAAAATATAATAAAAATGTTCCACTTAACTCAATATAACAATCGTTTTTAACATAAAAACTGATATATTTATAATATAATGATATTAAAAATCTTATAAATTGGATATTTTTTAATTATAAATAACAATCAATATTAATAAGTTAATTAATTGATCAATATTAATTAGAATAATTTAATTAATAATTAATGTTAATCTAATTTAATCTATTTCAAATATCTATATACAAATACATAGATATAGTATGATGAAAGGAACGTCATACCATGATAATGTATATTTTAATTTTATAATGTATTTTCTTTGGTAAATAAATAATTCATTAAAATAATAAAATAATAATTGAACATAAAATAATTAAAGTTAGTAATTTTAAATTCATTTATATTTTTTTGAAAACGAAAAATTAAAATCTAATAAAAAAGGAATTGTTATAATATTCTAAAAAAATCACAGGAAATATGATAAACCTAATTATTTCATGTTTAATTAATTCAATAAAAAATTATTAGAAAAAATCAAGAAATAGATGGACATAATTAATTAGTAAAATATTTAATAAATGACAATAAGTCTCAGATCTTGTATTAATATACAAGAATTTCTTTTGTGTAAAATATGCTAGGTAAAATTTATTTTTTAAATTAATATAGCCTTTTAATATTAATGTTATATTTAATGTTAATATTAATATTTCCAGAACGAAATTTCATTTATAAAAACGAAATTTAAAAATGCTACCAGAGCATTAAATGAGATATTCTAATATATATATATACGGAACTAATTTTTTACATTAATGATTATTTAAATATATTTTTATTACCAACCCACTGTAGAAGGAACATGAGAACCAACTGTAAAATCTTTGTATTGGGAAAAAACACAAATCTAAAAAATATATTAAATAAAATTAAGAAAGAGGATTTAATATTATATCAAAAAACATAGATAAACTAACCTTATCTTTTAATCGTTGACAAAGTTGTAATGCTATAGTAAGCAATACTAAAGCATCATTTAACCATGGAACACTACATTCTGCTTGCTGTGTTTCATATTTAACACTTCCATGTGCATTTTCCAATTGATATATTGCTAAGACTAATTTATAACTTTGGATATAAAAACTAATAGCCAAATTTTCTGGAAGATTAGGATTTAATGATTTCTGCAATAAAAAAATTCAATTTATATGAAGATATATAAATTATGTAAATATCTTACAATTAAAATTAATATTGAGTTTAATTTTTTGAAAATTTTGAAATAAAAATTGTATTTTATTTGTTCCAAATGTTTTATATTATTTTTTATATTTAATCATTTTCATATATTTAAAAATGATAATAAATACATGAAATATCATATTGTAATTAAATATTTACCAAAAATATTCACTCACCATATTACGACTTTTAATCAGATCATCAATGGTTTTCTTTCTAGGAACAATTAAACTAGTACGACTACGTTGAAGACAACCAAGAATATTTCCTAATACATGCATAACTTCATCAGATGTTTTAAAAGGATAATGTCGATCAACATTATCTATGTGAGCAATTGCTTGTTGTAAATGATTAGCAGCATCTTGTATTTGTTGTAATTTCCAAGGATGTTCTGTTTGTATACTTGTCCTCATATTAATATTTTGCTGACGTTGTATTTTAAAATTAACTTCCTATAAATATGTTTTTTTAAATTATAAAATATAATTAATTGTATTAATTAATTACTACACAATATAATATTTAAAATTATTTTGCTTTAAAGATATATTAATTATATTAATATTAATATTAAATAATATTAGTTACAAAATAGAAAAATAATTGATACTTACTGCATTTGTAATACTGTCACCAGTTAAAACAGCTACACATTTTACTTGATCATGTGGTGCAGCAAATACAAATCTATCCGTTTTATTATGTTGATCATTGCCAAATAATGCTAATGGAAATCTTTGTGCACATTCCTGTAGTATAAAATAAAATAATTATAATAAAAAATAGAAATTATTTCTTTAATTATTTTATTAATAATTCCAGTTATATGTCTTTAACATACCATTAAAATATTCCTTAGTTGTGATAATGAAGAATGAACTTCTTCATGAAGTACCCATTCAAATTCCATTTGCTAAAAAATTGTATAATATTTGTTTAATTGTATAAATTGTATAATATTTTAAATTTTAATTAAAAAAATATGACAATATAACATGACAAACATTAATTTAGTAAATTAATTAACATTTAATTTATGTATATATATATTATAAAGAATATATCATGTATATAATTTTAAATTGTTAGTTTTTCTTATTTGTTATTATAAGATGATAAGATAAATTTAAAATATTTTTTATTATATTTTTAAAATATTTTTTTATTTAAATTTTAATACAATTTATTTATCATAATAATATAATAATAATTAATAATAATAAATAATTTATATTATATTAATAAATATTCTTTATTATATAAAATTATTATATAAAAATATTATAAGAATTAATATTTTATTTTATACTTTCTTTTATACTTTAAGTTTTCATTTAAATTTTATATTATAAAATTTATCTTGCAAATGTCAATATATTTGAATAAATTAATATTTTATTGTAATTTTGATATTTTATAACTATATAATTTATTAAAATACATAATGTATTATGTTTATTTCCAAGTATTTTACATATCATTTTGTGTCTTATATTTGCTAAATGATACTTGATGATGACTTACATTAAATGAATATTTTTAAATAATTAAATCAATCATTTTATTAGAGAATAAATATTATGTTTTGTGATTATTGATATATATATATATATATATATATATATATATATAAAACTTTAACTTTTGAACTTTTGAAACAGAACTATTAAATTATACATTTATACACGTAAATAAGAAATAAATATAATATTAAAATTCATTGGAGAGAACATAACCACAAAGAACAGTATGTTTTAACAAGAATAGCAAGAGTGAATTGATTAGTTCGATGATAGATAAGGTAACACTATCATCATGAACTGCGAGACGATGAGGTCGCCTAAGTGATTAGATAAACGGTAGACAAAGGCAAATAGCTTACGAGATTGTGAGCCTCCTCCTTCTCGCAGTCAGCCATTTTCTCTATCGGGTGATACTTCCAGTTGTTTCTTAGTTACAAATTACAACGTTCTAAGTACATATGTGCCTAATCTTTAAGTTTCTTTCATTAATTTCTATTTTTTTCTTTATGTATCTCATTTGTCACTCATTCCGCAATCAAAGATTATCGTCACATTAAAGACGGAAGATAAATCTGATCATCTACTCCGATGTGAAATTTTGCAATCTGAAATAGATAAATCGTTATCATTGTAAGATATTCTTTCATTCTAGAATTAGTAATTAAAAAAATTGACTTATTGATAAATAAATACCAACGAATATAAATAAAACACCTGTATCACTTTACATAAGAAGTATTTTCTTATATAACTTCTTATGATCAAGTTTATAATATATGATTTTTAAATATGTAAATAGTATCAAAATTAATTATATTATTTTATATACTTAATATATTAATATATTATATATATATATATATATATATATATTTGTCATATTTCTATATATTTATGTATTTATATAGTATAAAAATTTTATTATATTAAAAGAATATTTTAAAATTATACAAATATATATATGTATAATATGAGTATAGAAATATTAAATGTATGTAACAGATATATTAAAAAATCTTAAATTTTAAGTAAAATATACATTTTATGAAATAATAAAATTTATTAAATAGGAAAAAAGAATATTTTTTTATTTATTAAATATACTTATTATATTATATTTATTATAAATAAAATTTATATAAAATAATTTTTTTTGACAAAATTTTATAAATATTTAAATTTTTATATCATTTTCAGGAATTTATTTTATTTTATTTAGTTTTATATTTTTTATATAATATAATTATAAAATTATCTTTATAAATCTCTCTTTATAAATTTAATTTTCTACAAAGAATCATGAGTCTTAAATTATATTATGATTTATTATCACAACCAAGTAGAACTCTTTATATATTTTTAAAAATTTGTGATATACCATTTGAAGCAAAATTAATAAATTTAGCAAAAGGTGAACAATTTATATCAAAATATCAAAATATTCATCCCTTTCAAAAAGTACCAGCTATTGAACACAATGGTTTTAATATGATAGAAAGGTATAATTATTTTATGTATATTGTATATGTAATATGTTTTATAATATGTATTATAATTAATAACAATTAATAACAAAATATATAAATTATAAATAAATAAATTTAAATCTTAGTTAAATATAAATTATAATTCATAATTATATATTTATATATATTTATATAAATATAATGGCTTATTTTATTTTTCATTAAGATTATTATTATTATTATATTAAAAGAAATGTAAATTATGTTTAATATTCTGAAAAGTATGAAAATAAATTAAACTTAAAATTATAAATTAATATTTCTAGCTTACATAAAAAATAAAACTATTATTTCATAATTTTTATATTATATATGTTATTAATATGTTGATAACCTGTTATTAATATTTTTTATCTTTAATTTTTAAGTAATCAAATAAATAATAATAGAATATTATAGAATAGAATATAAAATAATTTTTTACCATAAAACATTAGCATTAACATTATAAAAAATATTATTTATAATAAAATTTATTTACATATTAAGTAATATCATATAAAATTAATTTTTCATTATAATACTTTATTTTAATTTTATTTTTTAATTTTATTTATTTTTATTTTAATGGTTTTTATAAAACTATTCATTATTTTTAAATTATAATTAAAGAAATTTATAAATTATAAATTTAAATATTAAAATTAAATTAAAATTTTATAATTTATTTTAAAATTTAAAAAATATTGAATTTTGCAGTGTTGCAATTTTGAGATATATCTGTAGAGAATTTAAGGTAGCTGATCATTGGTATCCTAAAGACTCAAAACTTCAACTTAGAGTTGATGAATATCTTGAATGGCATCATTTAAATACCAGACAACATTGTAGTATGTATTTTTTTATGAAGGTAAGAAAATTTCTTTATATATATAGATAATATATAAAATGATGTTAGAAATCTTATATTCTTTCAAGTTTAAATAATTATATATATTAGTTTAAATATACAAATTTTATGCTAGTATTTTTTCATTAAAAATTAATTTTTTTTATAGTATTTGATGCCAAAATTAAGTGGACAACCAGTGACACAAGAAAAAATTATGAAATATGAAAAAAATATGATTGAAATACTTAATGTTTTAGAAAATGTTTGGTTAAAAGACAAAATTTTTTTAACTGGTTCCGAAATTAGTATTGCTGATATTCTTGGAGCATGTGAAGTGGAACAAGTTCGTAAGTAATGATACATATATTTATTAAAAATAATAGTAAAAATAGAAAAGATTATCAGAGAATGTTTAATTAATTTATATATATATTATTATAAATTGTAAATAAAAAAATTCATACATTATAATATGTTTAATATTTCAATATTTCATCATTTGTTATAATATATAAAGAAATAATAATTGTTAAAGAAAAATAATTTATTTTTAAATACAATATAAATTTAAGAAATAATTGTTGATTGCAGGAATAGTTGGATATAATCCTCAAGAAAATCGACCTCGTATAGCTGCATGGATGAAATGTGTTGAAAATAAAACAAGTCCTTATTATCAAGAAGCACATATATTTTTAAACAAGCTTGCAACTAAGACAAAACAAGATGTATTAAAGAGCAAGATTTAAAATTTTATTCATCATATATGTATTAGATGAATACAGGAATTTAATTGATTTTATATAATATAACATTTTTAATATTTTTATTTTTTTTGTTTATATTTTTATATTTACTATTCATTTAACAGTATCGTTTATATAAAGATTTATATCATTTGAGTATAATGATATATAAAATATTATATATAAATATAATAACTAATTCTGATACTGTTGATACATGGAATGAACACAGCACAGTTATATATAAATAGACCTTAATTTTATAAGTTTTTATATATATATATATATATATATATGTGTTTGTAATAATTGTTTTTATTTGTGCTTAAGAAGTTATTATACTATACCATATCCATATGATTGTTTATGTTTAAATTTTAAATTTGTATACATATATAGTGAAAAGATAAAGGTTTTAAACAATGGAACGAATATAATGATTTATATTTTTTTTTTACATTTTTTTACATTTGTTTTTATTTTCATTTATTATGCAATTATATTTTTAAATCAATTATATAAATAAATAACAATATTTTTTTTTTTGATTGAAATTTAATTCAATCAAGTTGCATAAATTGTTAATTACATAAAAAAATATAAATATAATGTAAAAATATAATGTAAAAAATGTAATAACTAAATAAATAATTTTAACATAATAATATAGATATAATATAAAAATATAATAAATAATGTAAAATATAATAATAAAAAGTTTCGCAAAATGGTAAAGATATAAAAAAAGAACTTTATTTATCATTTTTAATTATTAGTAAGTGAAAATTTATTAAATTTCCATATTTATATAAATAATTTCAAAAAAAGTTTTGATTATGCAATTGCTCTTCGAGCAATCTATTACAAAAGTAAAATTTTGAACATTCATATCTTATTTTGTTAAATATATTATTAAAGCTAAAATCACAATAATATTATTGTCATTAATTAATTAATTAATATTTATTATTTATAGTCTTTAATATTATAAAATAACTTAGCATTATAAAACATTTTTTATGCTAAATAATAATTTTAAGTGAGTTTTTTTAATTTTGGCATTTTTTTGGGACATCTTTGAACGTGAATATACCAATGTTTTTCTTGGCACCGTTCATCACAATAAAATGCCATTTCACATCCTAAGCATTTAAATTTTGGCCCGATAATACCACAATTCGAACACGTAAAATTATGCAAGCTATTTGGACTACGATTCATTTTACCAAGATGTGGTGTCTCGCAATCTCTAGGTTCGTTTGTTGATACATTTTTTGATAATTGAACATGTGATGAGATTAATGGCATCCGATATGATGCTGGAGGAATAATAGACGTCATTGTTTGGGAATCAATAGCTGAATTTGTTTGTGCAAAATTATCTGTATTTTTCACGAGTCCTAATCGATCAAATAGAAAATTTTGCATTTGTTGATACTTTGTATTTTCATGATTTTCTTCGTTAAAATTATTATCTTGAGTTTGATTAGTCACATCGCGATTAATTGATTTGGCAGCATTTGATACGTGAGGCGATTCTGTATCAATTATATTTGTAATGCCAGCAGTCGATAATGTATCCGTATCAGTTCTATTGTAAGTTAATGTATCGCGTTGCCTATCAAAAGAAGCAGCAGCGGCAACAGCAGCGGCTGCAGCAGCAGCAACAACATCCGGAATCATTCTATTACGAGAAAATTGATTATTTGCTGAATATCCGATTAAAGGATTTCGAGCCAGAGTTTGATGCGAAGAAGATAAAGATGGTGATGATAAAAATAACGATGGTAAACAGGTTGAAGTGGCAATATTATTAGTAGTAGAGTTTCCTCGAAGACGATCAAATTCCAAATTATTCGAATGCTGTAAAGTGTTCGTCGATGGAGAGGAATATCTCACAATTGGATCTTGTATCAAAGGAAAACGTTTATCCATATGTTGCATTGATCGTAGATTTTCTTGTATAGGAAAATGATACCCTGATAAAGAACTCGAATGTAAACGCGGATGATATGGATAAGTACCATAAGGACAAATTGTTGGATGATAACTTAAGGTAGCACCATTGTAAGGATCGATCTATAATTAAAAAATTTATATAATTATAGTATTATAAAAATACTTATTTAATTCTTTTTAATGAATATTTATAAACTGTATCAATTTACAAGCAATTATATATTATTATTATATATAATTATATATATATATTTTTTAATCTATTAATTATATAATTTGAAAGATTTTTAAATTTGTCAAAAAAGAATAATTAAAATGCATTTATTTTAATTCTACTTACTGTATAATTGTTTGGATAAAATTGTGTCATAGAAATAGGCGGACAAATACCAGGGCGTAAAGGTGGAACTGCTGCAATAGGTTGTGAAAGAGTTACAGATGTTCCAATATGTAATTGCTGTGGTTGATGATGACATTGCAATTTTTCTGCATTACGTTGAGATGCTACATTCATTATATTGTTGTTTATATTAGGACCTATCATTTTTGGTATTTCGGTCCCAGAAACTTGCTGCAATATGTTATAAAATTATGAGAATAAATCGGAGAAATTTCAAACAATATTAAAAAAATTATGATAAAATAAACAATAAAAAAGAAATAACTCTTACGCCTGTAGTATTCTCTGGTGCTGTAAACGAGGCATTTCCTGAAGTTTGTAATTTGGGTTTGCTTATTGAAGCTTGTTTCTTTGATATTCGGGCCAACCAGTTACCAAGAGTCGGAAACTGTTCAGTTATAGAATGATTTCCGCCATTCCTTTGTACAGAATCAATCGGAGTTTCTTCTCCTTTATAATTTTGTCGTAATCTGCTATTCATATAAATATTCATATATATAAAATATAGAAATTTACACAATAAAATATTTTTTTTTTTATTTAACTTACGTAGAATATTTTTGATTTAATACTGTTCGTGGAATATCAAATTGAGTTTGTTGAGCCGAACTCGATGAAACCTGAAATAAATTCAAATATTTATTATTATATAATCAATAATTTATTCAAAAAATTTTTTTTTTTCAAAATTTCTTTCTTTATTGCGTTATGTATTAATGTGATTATTTTTTTACAAACCTTTTGCGCATTTAGAGGATCTTGACGAATTTTCGAGAACGAAACTTCTTCTTGATTGGATTCATAAAAATTAGACTGTAATATATGCTTTCTTGATGGAGAAGATTGTTTGTCAGGCATCATCTCGAACGTCTCATTCTCTTGGACAGGTGTCGATACTTCTACACAACTAGCTATCGAACTTATTATCGGTCCAGTATCAGAAAATTCAAGACATTTGATCTTTTCTGGTTCTTGTGTTACAAGACGACATTGAGGGAATCCTTCCATCGATTTACTCCTTTCGTCTTTTTTTTCTTGAGTCGCGCGATTATTCTTTGGAAATTGAGCAATGTTTTTACAATTATTTAATGTTTTTTTATCGACATCACGATCTGAATTTTCAATATCAACATTGATATTGTTCCCCATAGGAGTAGTTCGTGCGTGTTTTTCAAGATCTGAAGGATCTTTGTTTACAGAATCAACCTGAAGAGGGTCCATAGAGAACGTTGGTTTCATCAACTCTTCGTTAACAGGCCAAACTTTCCTCTCTGCGACTTGTAGCTCCTCCTCCACCGAATCTTGATTCGATGATATAGTTAGACACACCCTCGGTAAAATTGGTGGGCTATTTCGAATTTCTTCCGGCAATATACAATCCAAAGATGATCGTGGTGACAATTTTGGCGGCTCGGGTGACGACGTTGGAGAAATGTTATTCACTGAAATATCCATGTCTGAACTTCTCTCGTTCAAATTCATGCACGGATATTTGTTACCACTAGTATTAATACCATCGTCATTTACATCGATCACTTCCCTCGAAACTGAAAGCGCTGCGGACAGTTTGCCATGCAACTTCGACAGATTTTCTATTTGCTTCTCGTAACGATTCATCACCTGTCTCAGTCTGGTATTTTGCTGATTATTCGAGTCGTTTGCCATTTCCTTGGCTAACTCCGAAGCTTTGCCACGTAGTTCGCGAAGCTTCTGTTTCAATCTATTCCGCCGATACTTCAGCTTGTAGCTATCGCTACTTAAAGATGCTAGATTTGTGTCTTTTTCATAGAGTATATCATTCCAATTGGGATTTGGGCTTGTTGATGATTCAGATGTCGTGTCTGTGATGATTCTATAGTTTGACTCGCGTTCTGATCCCGGAATGACTTGAGAATTGTCGTATCCCTCCATCTCTGTTGCCAGATATGTAATATTTATACTTATTTCAATTTTAATGTGTTTATATAGGATCATAAATAATATAATAAAAAAAAAAAAAAGAAAAAATAATTACAATTTTACAACAACATTATTGTGAATTTTAATATAATCAAATTAAAAATAATTTTCAATTTTTATTTTTAAAATTATTTTTTTTTTTTTTTAATAAAATTATACGAAAAATCGTAAAATATAAAAGTTTTCTAATCGTTATCAATCACTCTTATTACCTGTATGCACAACTTTTTTCAGTCTCAATGGAGGCACTTTATTACCACTATTTTCTTTCGTCGTCGAAGTAGCTTTAATACATTTATCGGTGCATAGATTCTGTATTCCTTCAGCCGCGTTCGATCCGCAGAAATTGGTCAAAAACTCTTTGATCGAACTTTCCACGTTATCCTTTCTACCTTGGCTAGAATTCCCCCCTTGCGATCTCTTCTTCTTTCTATTTTCTTTAACGTTATCCTTCTCGTGTTCCATGTCGTTATTGTTTCTGCTCGTTATCATACTCAGACTTCCAACACTTGAAATTTGAGGAAGAACGTAATTCATTGAGCTCACATAATCTTTCGACGCTATTCGTTCTTCACAATTAATATTTCCTTCCTTATGAAGTTCCTCGTTTAACAACGTACCGATTGGTTTTACAGATTCTATTTCCTCTATGTCTGCGCTGCTAGATTTTGGTAACATGAACGATGGCGAATAATCCTTACGAAAGAATCTCGTAGGTACAGATGGTGCTGGACGAATAGGTAATGAACGATTCGGTTGTACTGGTATCATACATGGTCCACGATCTCGTAAAGCAGTTGCTAAGCTGCCATTCCCATTGTAATTTAATTTACTTGAACTATCTGCTATTATAATTCGAGGTTCTGGAATACAATGAGAAGTAGTGCAAGGGAAGCAAAACTTTCTGATATCTAATAATTGATAAAAGAAGTGCAAGAAAAGAAAAATATGAAGTGAAATGTTTATAATATGCATGTATTCTATGATATTTAAATTTCATAAGAAATTTCATAATAAATTTTGATTCGTAAAGAAATTAGATCACATAGATGTGTAAAAATTAAAAATATAATAAATAATAATTTATTTTTTTTTACAATAAACGATTTATAAATTTCGTATATAGTGTTTATTATACGAGTAAGAAATAATAATTACGATATTTAAATATATAATTAGTCTCGAAGACACTTATTTATCGATTTTATGAAGAAACTTAATTATTCATTATTGTTTGTTAATTTTTTAATTTTCAAATTCCAATGTTCTATATCCATGTGTCTTCGTTTTTTTTTTTTTTTTGAAAAACAAATTAAAAATAAGCAAGCTCTTGCATTTTTATTTTAATATTTAATCTCCCGGATAGTAAATGCATATTTGATAAATGTTCAGAAAAATAATTTATTGATATTCATCACGATTATAATATATATTAAATTTTGAAAAAGATATTATATTTCATTGTACTTTTTTCATAAAAATTTTACATAAGAACATACATTTTTTTTTTTTAACAAGTATCTCCCTCTTTAAAGTAGATTTAATTATCGTTAAATTAATCAAATAATTGATCAATTAACAAATTCTTCAATTTGATTGATATTACTAATCTTGTACCTAGTACAACGTCTGTAGAACACTTCTCGTTTCTGCTTTCCATTTCATTAACCGTGATCGTCTTCACATCGCAGAACTGCTTCAAAATCGTTTGTTTCCACGTGTTCTTTTCATCGGTCGTTAGATCAACGAAAATGGGCCCCTGCTGATCATACTTATCTTCCGGCAAACAATCGAATTCACTTTCGTCGATCAATCCATCAGAATTTTTTCTGATTTTTCTCAAAATATCACGTAGTTCGAAATTTTTTTGAATCTCGCTGGAACTACTAATTAAACAGACATCTTGTTCCTCCTCGAAATTCGTCCCGTTTTCGCAATACAAATGTTCACAGCTGTTTTTTTCTTTTTTGCCACGGGAACCACTCGAAGATTCTTCGATAAATGACAAACTTGAACTTCCGGAGGAATCTTTGATCTTCTTGTAAACGATATTATCGCGAGATATCATTACCTTTGGCCAGCAGTCCTTTGTGAATAATTTATACGTAGATTTCTGCTTCTTCGATCTTTTCCTTTGTTTTTTCGGTGAATTATTCGATTGATAACTATCAAGTTCTTTCATTTTCTTTCTTCAAAGTATAGTGGAAGTAATAGTGGTTTGTTCGTGACAGAACAAGAGAAGAGGGATACGTCCTTCGTATCGATTATTTAAGTCGATATGAGACAGATTAATGATTACTTTTTAAATATATTCGACTCTTGGATGAGAATGTTTTATAAGTAAAATAATGTTCTTATTTAATTTGATTTTGATGGTATTAATAATTTGGATGGAATTAATAATTTGGAATAATAATGTAAAATAATGAAGTAAACAAAATGATAGTCGAGTTTAATGATAAAGAATAAATAAATTGCATCCATTTTCAATAAATCTTGTAAAAGTTTGTTGAAAACATCAATATATTTATAATATATGTTTTATAAATATTTATCAAAATTGAGGAATAATTATAAAGTTATAAATTTAAAAAAAAAGCAATTAAAGTTTAAATTTAAAAAAATAATATTTTTAATTAATATATCTAATTTTCTGATTCATCATAAATCATCATTCGTTTTTTTTTCCACTTTTTTTGCATCTTAATCTAATAAATTTAAATCAAATTGTTATAAGAATTGCATTATTTACGAAAAATGTAAATATTACATATTATGTGCTTTCTTTTTCTCATTTCTTCGTACATTTATTACATTAGATTTATAATATTTAACATGGATCATTATTATATTTAATTTTATGTAGATAAAAAATATAGAAAAAATTCATAAAAATTCTATAATTTATAACAAACTAATTTAAAACAAACAAGTATATTATATTTTTTTCACTTTGTTTTATATAATTTTAAATCTTCGTAAGAAATATAAAAATAATATTCAAAAAATGAAAAATATCTTTCGAAAAATATTTTCTATTCTATAATTCTTTACCTTGGAACGAAACTTTATATTGAAATGAATTTTTTATTTGCATCAGAATAAAATTTCAAATATTGTAATTTTAATTCAATAAGATATCAATTAAATATTAATTATATAAATTTTTTGTTCAATAATTAATTTTTATCATAGTACGTGGTATATATTGTGTGTTTATTTACATATTATTTATATATTATTTTTTATGTATAATTCTTAATTTTCTTCATACTCACGATTCATCAAATATATGTACATTTCATGTAATTAAATAATTTAATTATATTTAATTATTTCATCTTCATCTGTTCATCATTTCTGATCCCATGAAATAATTTTTTTTTTTTTATATAAAACACGCGCGCACTAATATTAAATATCACAGTAAAAAATATCATTCGCAGTTCACAAAATTGTATAATTATATTTCACAATTTTTAATCACATATTCAAAGAATTAAATTAAAGAATGAAAACATAAAAAAAGATGCAATAATACAATAATCTCGTGCAATTTTATAAATTATTATAATTTAATAGATTATTAATTCAATTTTTTATAAACGAATAATTCAAAAATGTTGAAAGAAAATGGATGCAATTTGATTCTTTTACTTCTTTAAATTCAAATTCATATTCAATTAAAAATGAAAAAAAAAAAACACAAAAAAGAACAATCTTGAGTGCGTTTTAATGCAAATGTAATAATTCTGTTCTGAAAAAGTTAAAAATCGAATAAATTGTTAATTGAAAAATAAATATTATCGTGCAATTGAAAATTGTAAAAGAAAAATCGTATTTTCTTCGACGAGAATGTGATTTTATCTAACAATAAGTGTAATAAAATCATTAAATTGAACTGATTCAGGTGGCACGTGTATCAAAGTAGAGCGAGACGAGTGTCGCGCGAAAAGTGAAGGCAGAAAGCATGGAATCTTACACGTACGCTCATGTTTCCCACTTCTAGAAAAATTCTTATTAGGGAAACCCTTCGCAATTGGTCGACTAGAACGCAATCGTTTGGCGCAGCTTGGAAATATAATGTTTACTGGCAATGCAGGAAAAAGGACAATAAATATTTCTCTGGCCTTCGAAAGCTATTTTTCGTTCTTAGATACATATGTACTATCTTTGTTCATCACAGATTGAAGAGTGGAATTGTTGGAACTTGATGCACGTGGTAGTTACAGATTGGTTTACTTTTCCCTCTTCTTTTTTTTTTTATATAATACATACATACAATACAAGAATATACATTATTTATACCAAAAAGGAAGATTTAAACATAATATGTGATTCAAAACAAAAATTTTTATAACAGCAACATATATTATATTATATTTTGAAATTATATAATAGCAGTTTTGATATATTTCTTAGAAAGTTAGTTTATTTAGAAATTTTTCTTAGTTTTATTATTTATTTTTAGCTGATTATCGTTAATTATTTTATATGACTGTCTCTTGTTATTATTATCAAATTATTAGAGTCATTTAATTAGAGATTAATTTTTTTTAACAAAAATTATTCTCAAATTAAATACTTTTTTTTTGTTGCTTTTTGTACAATACATATAAAAATTTATACAAATATTATGTTATTATTTATTATAATAAATAAATTTTAGTATATATAATAAATCTACTATACAATCATACATACATATATTTACAATTAAAAAGAAAATATATTTATTGAAACTTTTCATGGAATATTATATCATTATTACTGAACCTGAAAATAAAATAACTTAGCGTTATATACTATACAATGTAATTATTGTATTTCTATAGTTGCAAGTTCATCGGTTACATACTTACTATATATAGTAACCATTAATATTGTTGCTATATTTGCTGTATTTCTTACTATAAATAACGCGTCTACGAGATACGAGTGAATTGAAAAAAAATGTGTCTTCTTTGATTATATCGAGATAGTATCATCTCAATATGCAACTTACTACGTGTAAAATGATCATTGTATGTATATGATATTGATCGACTTTTTTATTCTTCAGACACTATTTAATGCTTAAATGTAAAAGTTCCCCTTGCAAAATCGATTCGCCAAATAATCGGTGTGTTGTATATTTCCCACGAGAACTCATCGGAGGACAGTTATTACTAACTATATAAAACATGATAACGCTTTGCTTTAAAAGGTTTTACTTTTAAAAGTATGAAATAGAAATATTGAATATTTCAAAACTTATATTAGATGTAATATGTAAAGTGTTTATCATAATGCAGAATATATTTTATTTAATATTTTTGATTATTATAATTCTTTAATATTTGTAATTTATTATTAATTAATGTATTTTCGATTTGAAAATTTAATTAATAATAAGTTCAATACAAAGATCAATTTATATTGTGATATTATTTATTATTAACATCGATCTTTTAAAAATCCTCAGATTTTAAAAAATAAATTTTCTTTTATTGATGAAACTTTATTTTAGCTGTATTTCAAAATCCAATAAATAATAAATATTCTTTATATTTCGAATATTCTAAAAATATAAATTGTATATTTTGTCTGTAATATGAACACTTAACAAACGACATATAGTCATATGTGCATTTTCCCACCTAGAGGAAAGTCGACGACATAGGGAAACTCGGCAACGAACGTATATACGAATAAAAGGGGTGAATCACCCCATCATACTTTTTCTTGTGGGTTTTCTATTTTTTTACTCGAGTAATAAAATCAAATCAATGCAAATTGAATATGCCATTCATGAGACTAATCTTAAAATAAAAATTTACGATTCTTTGCTTTTTCTTTTTTTTTTTTTTTTTATTTTGTTGTTTTTCTTGTTGTCTTCTTTTTATATACTATATATATACTATTTGAAATATTATTGTTTACTATTTAATTTTTTTTTAGCATTTAGATTATCAAATATAATTATTATAATAATTATATTATATATATATATATATATATATACATTTTTTAAAATAAAAATTTTTTTAGAAATAAAATTAAATTAGTTTATATAAAATTTTCTTCTTTTACATCAATCAAAATTTTATTTGATCATTTTGATAAAATTAATTACATTTTAATAAAAAGAAGAAAAGGTATTCTTTATGTAACAAAATTGAATTATGTTGTCATATTACTATTGATCAAACAAACGATGCAATCGTCAGTTTACCATTTGTAAACAATGAAGAAACTTGTTTCATATCAATCCTTGGAATCAATTCTTTCTGATTAATCTATTTCTATTTTTATTTAATCAACATTTATAACAGCAACAATAACATAAATATCTTCAGTTATAAATCATTGAAATAAACCGCAAGAATATTTCAAATTGATACTTTGTGATAATTATTTGTTCAAAGAAAAAAACGTGAAGAAGATTTACATATTTTATCAAATCACAAGAATAAATCAATATTTGGTCAAGAAATTATCTTTAATAGTATTTAAGAATTAATCTTTTTCTAATTTTTTTAAACAACAAGTACAGAAGATATTATTTTAACAAAATAAAAAAGAAATTTTAAAAATTTAAAATGGTACAAAGAGTGGGAAATAATGCGTCAAAAACAACTTACACACAATCATTTGGAAATCCAACAAATCGAAATAAATCGAAATTTAAAGTTCAAGTTTGTTCAAATCGCAGTCCTTGTGCGAAAACTGCAGAATGTAGGGATTCAGTAGAAGATGAGAAGGTAAATACTATGCTAATATTAAATAAATTAAGTAAAATTAAATTAAAATATCATAAATTATAAAATAAATTATAAAAATTGTTATATTTGAATTTGAATAATAATGTATTTATGAATATTTTAATAATTAATAATAATTTACAATTAATATTTTGATCGTATATATTATAATAATAGTATAATAAATTATTATATTTAGTTAGGTAAGGAAAAAACTAAAGTTAAAATGAAAATACAAGTTCATGCTATGAAGAAAAAAAGACCGGCACCTTCAAAAACTTTGACACAAAAAGAGTATGACGAATATCAGAAATACAGTCGTTTGACAAAGGAAGAACAAGAAGCAGTTCTTAAAGCAGAGAAAGAAGAAAAGGAAAGACTTATAAAAGAGAGTATGGAGAGAAAAGAAGAATTTCGTAAATTAGATCAAGAAAGGCCTCGAGAAAAATGTCCGCAATTGATCGAAATTGAAGAAGAAGCCAGAAGAAGAGCGAAGTATGTCCTTGAAAGAGCAGAGAACATGAGACTTGAACAGGAGGAAGAAATTCAAAAATGCAATAGAATCATCTTAGAAACTAAATGTCGAGCCATTCGAGA